TTCCGCATACAATGGAGTAAGGGTGACCAAATGAGTGAGCCTATACTTAAATGTCAACATTTTACCAGTCTTAATTCTTTCTCAGAACACAGCTAGGAAAATAGATAAAATGTGCATTCCTTATTACTTGCCTGACCTGAATATTTATTTATCTCCGTCCACTGACACTATTTTTAAAAGAAGCACTTCACCCAACCAACCATCAGTTAGAACAGTGGGTATACAGAGTAGGGAAATGAAAGCAAGTCTTTCATGAGAATCATATCAATGATCAATGTCTTCATTAATCTGAGAAGAGTTCATATATTTCCTGTCTGTATGAAAATATACCAAATATGAATAACCAACAACACAAACTGAGAGATGGCAAATGACCTCATAGGTATCACGGGGACTTGTGAAATGGGACTTAAGCCTGCCATATGGATACATTTTGTTCAGAGGAGAGAGACCCAGTGGAAAGGGACAGAAAGGAGGGTCTGTCTGTAGAGGTGTGGAAATGCTACCAGAAATTCCAGTGCTTTTTGTGTGAGTGTAGCCAACAAGAGCAGGCATGAGGATGCTGCTGCGCATACCACAGACGGACGGTCGGACGTGGGAGGGGGAGGGTCTTTCCTCCTTTGGGTTAGAAAACTGGAACAGAGGCGAGAGAGGAGAGTGATAAGGGGCTTCAGCCATCCTGGCACCCAGAAGGCTCACTACATCAAGCAGAGGAACTGATAAATGAAATGGCCAGACTTGAGGAAATTGCATTCTCTTAAATGTAGAGAAAAGATAGGTAGGAGCCGATGGCCTGCGACCCTAAAAGGGAGAAACTCAAAAGGTATAGTAGGCTCCCCAAGATGAACTGAATCGTGACTAATTCCTGAGAGGTGGCCATGGGGACAGATCTAAAGGAGCTATTGTGTTTTTCACGACATGTTTGGTTTAGAAAAGGACATGTACAGAGATAGAAGGAAGGGCACAGTACCAAGGACAAACTGAGAAGAGTGACACATTTCTGTGAGAATAGTGCCCGACTTGAGCTGAGGCTGGCAAAAAAAAAGCCAAAGTTGGCAAAAAAAAAAAAAAAAGAAAAGAAAAAGAGCGGTGGTGGTAGATTATTCTAGTTATGATTAAAAAAAGGATGAGGCCCATTACTTAGGAATCATGGAAGTACCCCAAAAGAGGAGAGAGGAAGTAAGAGGACCCAACTCCTGTGTTATATCTAGCTTTTCCACAAAAGCAAAATGGTCTTAACCAGAAAGATTTAAAGAAGCACCATTACAAGCTCACTGGACACAAAAGCAGGGGGATGAGGCATGCCAATTCATGGTGTGTCCTCTCGGCCACATTAAGTTCAGACCTCCAGGCCCTGCAGGCTCCTATCCCAGACCCCCAGAAAAATCTACAGACAGGATAACAGAGCCAATGCACTTGATCCCTGAAATAATTGATGGAGACTGGGAGGGTTCCAAAAGATTGTTGTCAGCAAATGTCCCAATTTACCCAAAGGGGAAAGAGACAGTTCCTACTATATGGACTAATAAGCCTGGCAAAATGTTAATTAAAATGTTATTTAGAGAAGGTTTTTTTTTAAAGCCCTTTGAAAAGGATGGATATTAGGAACTAGCACAGGTTTGAGAAAAACAAGCCAGACGAAATAACTCTATGGGCTTTTTCCCTCTCACATGCTACCTAAGGGCACAGACTGGGGAGGGCTCTAGTTATTCTGTATCTTGAAGCCAACGACAGAAAAAATATCAGTTCTGTATCTGTTTAGTCCTTGACAACACGGGCTGCATGGTGACCAGGCTCACAGGGCCCTGTGACTGGCTTTGGCTTTTCTTGAGGCTGGCATATTATCTTAAGCCTCTGGGCCTTTGTCACGTAGCGTTCCCTCATGTGGAATAACCTTCCCTTTGTCTGGCTGTTTGTCCTTCAAAACTCAGCTCCAATGGCGCCTCCTCTGGGAAACCTTCTCTTCTGTCCAGTGTGATATAGAAGTCCCTGCCACAGTCTGACTGTTCGTGTTCTCCCCAGGTCACATGTTGGAATCCTAATGCCCAATGTGATGGTGGTGGAAGGTGGGGCCTTTGGGAGGTGATTAGGTCTTGAGGGGGGAGGCGTCATGAATAGGATTAGGACTCTTATAAAAGAGATCCCACAGAGCTCCCCAGCCCCTTCTGACACATGAGGATACAAGAAGTCTGTGACCAGGAAGAAGGTCCTCCCCCGACCATCGTGGCACCCTTATCTGATTTCCAACCTCCAGAACTGTGAGCAATAAATTTCCGCTGTTTATAAGCCACCCAGTCTGTGGTATTTTGTTATAGCAGCCCAAACAGACTAAGATAGTCCCTTATCCGTGCTCACCAAGCACTCTGGGCCCTCCGCTATCACGTCACTCTTTCCCTGGGCTACAACTGACAGCTTCTTTATCTGCCTCCCCCAGTTCCTGAAGTGGTTTGTCTTTCCAAAGCCCAGCAAAGTGCCAGGAACACAGGGGACCCTCAAGACACAATGATTGCTTGCTTGCAGGAGTTTTGCTGAGAAGTTCAAGGTCAACCTGAAGGGAGTCGTCTCTAATTGTGTTCTATGGACTTTTCCAACTCTAGACTTTTATCAGTGACTTGGAGAAATAATATACTTTCAGAGACTATAAAGCTGGGAAAGAAAGATAATTAGGTAAAAGACTCAAGGTTCAAGATCTAATAATCTACAGCCTGGCCAACAAGCTTCAAAATGTAGATAACTTTTTTATATCGATTGATTTTTCTGTGGTATCCTAAAGGCACAGGTTTTCTTGTTTTGTTTTGTTTTTGGATGAAAATCAGAGCCAGGTCATCGGAGGTGATGGATCACAGATGAATATACAGGCACTGATGGAAATGCTGCATTAACGCACCATATTCATTGCCATTTTGTACAGTACTCTGAATGATGCCTTGCTCATGAAGGACAATACACTGAATATATATGTAACGTCACTGACCATATTGTACATTATAATGTAATATCAGTCAGCCATTTATTATCTATGTTCTTCTATGTTTCTAGACTTTATGGCTACTCTGTAGAGAGACAACTGACAACCAACAATAAAATTTTAATGGAATAATTCATGAAGCTTTACATTAAGTCTCAAAAAAGTCAATTGAATATCTACATTATGGGGAATATCTGGCTTTGTTCATCTATCCATCCATCCACCCATCCAACTATATCGAGCTCTCACTATGTGCTAAATCCTGTGCTAGGATCTACAACTTTAGTGGAAAATAAACACTGCCTTCCCTGAGCTCATACCCTAGTAGAGGGAAATGGATAATAGGTAAGCAAACTAAATAATTTCAAATGCTGATGAGGGCCATGAACAAAAGAAAACAATGTGTGATGGGGATAGGGGACAACTTTGGATAGGGGCATATATAGATGCATCTCTAAAGCTTAGAGGAAGTTTACGTGAAGAAGAGCTTGGTGGGGCCTGGCTGACCATTACCTCGATGTGAGTCTAGGATGTGTTGTGACTGTTAAAAAGAAATTGTGAACCTAGGTCACATTAATAGAAGCAGAGTGATGAGATCAAGGGCAGTAACAATCCTACTGCCTCTGTAGCAGTCACTTCACTTCTAGACCAACTTCTGCAGTTGCAAATGCTATACTTGAAGAGAGTCACGAAGTGTATCCAGAACAGGGGTCTAGAAACTACATCTCACGAGGCCACGTTGAGAGAAGTAGGGAAGTTCAGTTTGCAGAAGGAACCACTAGTCAGTCATCTTTAAAACATCAGAAGATTCAAGAGGTCCAGAAGAGAATGAGTCCATGCTGTATGATTTTAGGAGTCCGCACCTGAACCTTTGAGAAGACAGCACAGTGGTTCAAAAGAGGGGAGATATTTCTAATAGAATTAGGGCTATACAGAAATGGGATGGGCTTTTTGAAGAAGTGAGCTCTCCACCCTCAGAAGGATTCCAGCAGACGTTGGGTAAACTCTGTTAAAGATGAGAGATCCCCATATGGGGCAAAAGATTCCTTTCAAGGACATATCTTTGGGAATGGGGTACAGTTTTGTTTCTTTGAGTGGAAGGTCTTCACCTCTTGGAACACCAAATCATCTTTAAAATATTCGAGCCTCAAGCAACAGTAACGCCAAGTCCTTTGGGTCCTTCCTTACTCCTAAGAATTTTTGTTTCCTTGGGAGAGTGATCTCTTGGAGATCAGAGGCACTTATCTGCCTTTAGTCATGGACGTCTCTTCCATTGGGGCAGAATGATATCTTCCTGGGAGGCCTAGGCCTTTGCGGGGAGATGTGAACTCCTCGCCTTCCCTCTCCTCAGCAACAGTGAGGTGAGGGAGGATGGGAAGCTCTGAAGGCCTGCCTTGTTGTTAGAAGTGACCTCCACTCTCCAGTATTTCAGAGACCCCACCCATGGGGACCAGGAATTATGTCAAGGCTCCCAATAACAGAATTCAACTAGAAACAACTACACCATCCTTTTGCTCAAGTCTCCCCCTGTGGATGTGGGTGTTTGCATGCGAGTGTATCTCTGAACTGGCCACCTTCCAGTATCAGGTGACTGCACCTTGAGGCTCAGGTCAAAGGCCCAGTTCTATCTAGGAGCTCTGCAGAACTTCCTCTTAAGGCATAAGGCCTCTCCCTCCGTCTGGAATGTGGATTTATCTCAGGCAGACAGGTGCTCCACTTTCTGTTCTAAATGGCCTTTTTAGCCTATCTTCACAGAAAGGTTTAACTGAACTCTAAAGTGTATACAGCCAATTTAATTGCTCAGTGTAATCATTTCATGATTACGACTTGATAGCATATCAATTCTGTCTCTCCTCATATTTGGTCTGTTGGGATAGAAACTAAATCAAAACCCATTAAGATTAAGGCTTCAGGCAGTGATTATCTTGATCCAAGACCAATATATTTTTTGTCTATTTACCTTGTGAATAAAATATGTGTTTTTCAAGGACAGAGGAGAACACGCGATATAAGGTCAGTGAAAAACACATACCTGAGCCACAGACAACAAAAACAAACAGTGCCAACAGCCATGGTCCCACAGGATATTTCTCTTCTTGCGGCCTCTAAAAGGGAATGAGAGAAAGTAAAATTAGGTTCATTCAATCGAGAAACATTTATTGAGTATTACTTTCACTGTATCAGGGGCTGGGGATACCAATGAACGAGACAGACCCAGTCTCAATGGGCAGTGGGCAGATAGAGATGAATAAAGTCAATTGTCAGGGATCGAGATAGGCGTGGAAAAAATAGTTAATAACCTTATTTAGACCCCTGTAACTCAATGAACTTGGTGGTCTTAAATATTCTGGGGACAGATGGGGTATAAATACAGAGACCAATAAAGTGATTTGGGAACCAAAAATGATGTTACTAGTAATTGTTTCCATTTCTTGAAAGGACACCGTATGCCAGGCAGTATACTGGGCAGTCTATACCCACTCTTTCCAGCCTCATGACTCCGTGAAAGGCAAGTATTATTACCTCCATTTTGTAGTTGAGAAGCTGAGGCTCAAAGTTTGTTAACTTGGGCAAGAGCTGGGATTCAGATCTAGGTCTGCCTCATTACAGAGCCCGGGTATTTTCCACTAACAGATTCATCTGTAATTCCCACATCTGTGAATTCCAAGCAGAGTCACAGCGTACAGCCATTTTCTCAAAACCTTCTATGTGCCCCCAAATCGGGAGGTCAGTGCAGTGGAAATCCCCGAACAGCAGAAGCACCACGGCAACTGTGAATGGATGAGAAGGAAGCAGCGTTTTGTAATAAAGCCCTAAATCTCAGTGAAGCTTATGCTCTGGAGAAATCTCTGCATTGCCTGGCCAGCAGAAGGGGACTGTTGTACCCACAGGAACCTAGCCCTGCACACCTCCTGCTCTTCTCAAACCAAAAGTACAGACATTATGAGAATGGCCCTCTGCAACCCTCTAGGTCTGTTTGCAGGTAGGGTTTGGTCCTTAAAATCAAATACTCAATGGAAAAACACTATTTTCTGAGAGAGGCATCAGAAAAAGTGGTGAAATTCTCAAATAAAAAGGGAGAAGGTGAAATGAAAAGTTAGAGAACTCATTAAATATTTCCTCATTAGCGTGAGCCAAAAATAGGCTATAGGCAATATAAGGTAAAGAGCTCATTTTATTATACACAAGGCAACAATTCTTTGGTTCTCAGCTTACATTCTTAGAGAGTCTGCACTCTCCCACCTCAACTGGGTTCACTTGTCACTCACATTGACATGTACTTTTCCTTGGTAGCACTTATCCCAGTTTGTATTTCTGTGTTTATTCTTGTGATAATGTGTTCAACGTCTGTCTCGCCACTAGACTGGAGGCCCCACAAGGGCAGGCACTGTGTCTCTCTCATGCATCGATATGCAGCAACGTCTGACACAGAACTTAAACACAGTAGACGCTCAATAAATGTTCATCAAAGAATGAATAAGCATATGAGTTTCATTAAATATGATTTCTTAGGTCAGGTAGAGTAAAGACAGGAAGGCTATTATCTTTTTTTTTTCTTGTTTTGGTGAGGAAGACTAGCCCTGAGTTAATACCTTTTGCCCATCTTCCTCTTTTTGCTTGAGGAAGAGTGGCCCTAAGCTAACATCTGTGCCAATCTTTCTTTGTTTTGTATGTGGGTCGCTGCCACAGCATGGCTTGATGAGTGGTGTAAGTCCACACCCAGGATGCGAACCTGTGAACCCAGGCTGCTGAAGTGGAGGGCACCAAACTTAACCACTACGCCACCAGGCTGGCCCTGATATTGTCTTTTTTATTAATACTTCCTAAATGGTAATGGGGTTATCCCCACATTTCTCTCGCTAGAGAAGTACGGATTAAAGTGTTAGTGGTAAGTAGACTCTGACTTTGGATTGGAACCATTCACTTGTCTGTCCTCGACAAGCTTGTATCTACCACACTCCTGCATGATGGCAAATGGCACTGTAAGGGAATGCATGGTTGCTGTTGACCAGACAAGGACAAAATCAGTCTTAGATAATTGCATAACTTTAACCAGTGTTTTTACTGTGTCATTCTTTGGCACTTAAGACCAGGTCAAGGTCAGATCAAGTAAATAATAGAGATATTAAATAAAGTTACCTGAACACAGTGTGACATTTAGCCCTTCCCACCCTCTTTCACTAACATCCTAACAGTTCGTCACAGTAGACCAGAACCCAAATCTGCTGCTGTCATCCCACTAATGCTATATAAAAAAACTCACTTAGCTCTATCTCCAGCAAAGCCAGCCAGTGAATTCAGGAGCCTGTAAATGAATTATTGGTCCAATGCAGATACGAATGGAGTCCTGTATTTTTTTTTTCGCAGAAAAACACAAATTATCAGCATGCAGAGCTTGGAGCATATAACACAAAAACCTTTTTGATGGCATTTCCCAGTGAATAAATACTATCTGGGGACTTTGAGAGCTCAGGAACACCTGGCTGATCATAATACCAATACGTCCTTTTTTGAGAGCTTTGAGTTACTCTTCTTTTTGGAAGTGGTGCCCAGCACAATCCCATTGGGACAATTCACCCAAGCCTGAATCTACTGCTGGGAAAGGTAAGAAAAGCAGCAGAATCCTGCAATGACATGCTTCATTTCAGACAGGAGTTTGCAGCGTCCTGAGGCTCCAAAATGTCAGGGGATGGCGTTCCCTGTAATAAGACACCAGCAGAGTAACTCAGAACTCTGAAATTTAAATTCCTCCTTCATTCTGGAGAAGTTACGACTATATAATCATGAAATAACTGTTCCATTTCTCTGTTTCTTGGATTTACCTGCTGTCTAGGAGAATAATATTGTTTTGCTCCATAGCAATTAGCTAATAATGAAATACCGAAGCATCTGCATACAATTAAAGGAGTTTATTTCTGAATGATGAGTTTGAATTTTCAGTTAGAATCTGTTCATATGTCCCCATTTATTGAATTCCCTCACGAACAAGTTATCCCTTGCAAGTTACTTCTTTCAAGGTATACTCATGTTTGACCTGTAATTAGGAAAATGAAATTTAGGACTTAAACTATCTCTTTTTGAAAGAGAATTTAATTTTCCTTTTGGGATGCTAGTCCATTTACAATACAGTTAATCAAAAAGCCCTTCTAACCAAGGGAAAAGAGACATACATCGTGGCTTGGTTTGGAAACCTTTCATTACAAATTTAGTAGGACCATTTAAAAGCCTCATAGGCGCCAGGCACTTTTGAAGGGCCCACTCCATGGTATATGAGAACCTGTTAAAATTCACTCACATCGTACATTAAACATCATTTGAATGTAGCTCTGAAAGTTGAGTTGAACTGTAGGTTCAACGTTTTCTAGATATTTAAACAGCTTTTTCTTCAATTTTTCCATTTCCTTTCCTTATTTTTAAGCCAATAATTTTTGTTTCAAATCCCAAACATTTTCTGGTGGTCTTGAAAAGCTGGAAGTGGCGGACACTGAGTCTACCAAGCCTAATGGATAGATAAAACAGCTCTGCAAATTAGTTCCTGCTTTCTTGTCACTTTTGCAGTCAGAAAAGTTGGCAACTGGACTCTTGTTCCTTGGTTCACGAAAAAAGAACTGCACAGCTAGAGAGTTTCAGTACATCAGCTAGTCTGTATGATACCCTGGGAAGAATTGATCTCCTAGCGATGTAAAATCCTGAATGCCTGACACCAACTAAAAACTGTTTATTCAGGGCCAGCCCTGGTGGCCTCGTGGTTAAGTTCAGTGCTCTGTTTCGGGAGCCCAGGTTGGGTTCCTGGGCATGGACCTACACTGCTCTGCTAGCAGTCATGCTGTGCTGGCGGCCCACGTACTAAAAAATAGAGGAAGACTGGCACAGATGTTAGCTCAGGGTGAATCTTCCTCAGGGAAAAAAAATTATTTTTTTCTACTGTTAATTTGGACAGTAAGTTTTTTTTTCTGAATAAAAATAAACAGGGAAAGGTAGATCTATGTGAAAAATGGTTCCAATTCAATGGCACACTGGCATTTTGCTGCCCAGTAACAACTAAATGATCTAACTCCCAAATGAGAGAATTTCAAGCATATCATAAACTTGGAGCTGTGTATAAAGCTCTGAACAGAGTTGAGTTTGATCCTAAGGTTTCTCAGTCATAGTCCTGCTTGGTTGTGTAAGAATTCTGGTGTAATGATTGCAGATCCAGCCTTTTGCTCAGTTAATCAAACCAGCATCATTTCTTTGGCTAAACGGAATTGCCTCATCAAGTCTGCAAGCTTTTCCAGCCAAACCCCAAGCTTCAGCTGGACTTCCACTTAAGTGCCTGGGATAATAGATTCCAGGCGTCTTTGCTCATAGACTTGGAGACCAGCACTACCCAACAACTCATCCGAGGCATGCCTCTGAATGTTCAAAATCACAGGCCTGGCATTTTCTGTTGAAGATAATTTGCTTTGCTAAAAGAAACCCCTGTGCACAAGGCACAGATGTTACTTAAAAGTCATTATAAAGCTTTAATCTAGTTTTGGGGGCACAGAATGCCTGGCAATAAATTAGTCTCTAAAGTTCTGGATCACACCATCAGGACGAGCCTGAATTCACAGGGTGAACAAGAGGAATGCTGCATTTAAACTTTAGTCCAGGGGTGAGAGGCCTCACTGGAGAAGTGGCAAATAGGAGGATGGAGGGAAACACGGATCTGAATCTCATTCCGTACTTCTAACTTATACTGGGTCACCACTGTGAAGGGGCTGGAGCATGTTTCTTGGGGATGCGGGGCAGGCGGTGAAGCCTGGGAGGGGGAGGTGATAAACGGCCTCCACTTACTCTTTCATTCATTCATTTATTCATTAATTCAACAAACGTTCTATCACCTAGTAGGTCCTGGGCCCTGTGTCAAGCAGTTGGCTTAACTGTTCCCTTAAGGATGTATGTGTCTTTCCGTCTCTCCCAGAGACCAAGGCCCGATTCTCTCCTGGGGGGGCTCTTCCATGCCTCGGTGGTAGCCCAGCAGCCACTCCCAGAGGGGCCACGACCAACCAGGGCCCTCTCCGCCCACGAGACCACGGAGAAGTCGGCGCCGCGCTGAGCCCCGATCCCCGCGCTCACTCTGCGGGACCTGCAGGCCGGCCGGCTGGGCACGGAGGACCAGGAGGCAGGGCCCTACGCCCGGCCCGCCGCCCCGCCCCGGCCCGCCCCGCCCCGGCCGGCCCTGCCCTGCCCCGCCCGGCCCTGCGCTGCCCCGCGCGGCCCTCCGGCGCCGCCCCGCCTTACCAGGGTTTTGGCTACGTTCCCCCTTTGGGTGATGTTTTTGCTGTGCTTCTCGTTAGCCATCCGGATCCGCTGTTTGGCCACCATGGCTTGGGCGCTAGGAAATGCTCTCGACTCCCACCTGCAAAGGTTCCCCCGCGTTTTCCCCTGACAGGGCCGAGCGCGTCCCGCCGGCCCGGGCGCTGCAGGTGGCAAGGCGCGGCCCCCGAGCCCCGCGCACCCTGCTCCCCAGCCCCCACCGAGCCGGCTCCAGAGAGAGGCCAGAGCCCGGACGGAAGTAATCTTTCATCTCAGGAAACCCTCTCCTACTTCCTCGCCATCCTTCCGGTCCCCCCAGCTACCTAACCAGCGCATCCCCGAGGCAGGCGCTGCGCGCGTCCTCCCCGCACCCGGCGGCCGGGGCGCAGCACACCCAGCCGCTCGGGCCCGGGGCCCCCGCGGGGTCGGCATCCAGCGGCCGAACGCGGCGGGGCCCCGGCTTCCAGCGGCCGCGGGCCTTGTGCGCGCATGGGTAGCGGGGGCGCAGCCGCTCCCGGTTCCTCGACTGGGGACCCACCAAAGCCCAGGCAGGGGATTGAGGCGGACGCGCGTCTGTCTCGCCTGCACCGCTGCCCCCTGGTCGAGCGCTGGACCGGCGGCGGCCGCCGGGAGGGTCCTCAATAGACAAGTAGAACAAGGACAGGACTGGGCCCGCGCTGTTGGGGGACCGTCCAAAGGAACGACTTCCCTTTCAGGGGTCTGGGAAGGGCCCTGCTGGAGAGAAGCACACTGCACGGCCTTGCTCAAGTGCTGCAGCAAAGGCCGGATCTCTCCAGGGATGGGGATCAGGGGGCATGAGGATGGAGTTGGGTAGTGGGGGTTGCTGGGGAGATGGGCCAGCGACACATCTGGGTGAGAAGTGGAGAAGGGTCTTAGGCCTGCTGCCCGGGTGGATTTGGTGGTTGCTGCTCAAAGGTGGGTAACCTTGACCAGCTTTGGCTCCCCACCTGCCTGGGGCAGCTTGGACCTCCTCCAGCCACCGTTGTCCCCAGGGGTCTGAAACAGGGGTTTGTTTTAATTATAATTTCCCTGCAGCAGAGGGATAAGAACTGAAGACTTTAGGTGACTCACAGACACTGGTCACCGGGCCTACAGATTGCCTATTCCAGGGACAAGGGGAGAAGGGATTCGGTCCCTCATTGTGCCATGTGCCGAATGGACTGGAGTTAGCACTTGGAACCTCAGAAGGGTTGAGGAGAGGAAGAGGGGAAGCTTCAGCCTGGAAGATTTGGGGCAGAGGGAGGAGGAGAGGAAGCAGAGCTGTGTGCTAGACCTGCTTAGCCTAATGTACTCCAGGCCTTGCTAGCAGGCATCTGTGGCTGGGTTTCCATAGGGTTTTGTGGAGGTAAAATTCGCCTGCATCAGTGGGAAGTTAGGGAGGGCTCCTTCTCTCTTTTGGGAGCCCTTTATTAAGCTCTGCCTCACCCCTCCCCATTTTTTTGCTTCCTCAACCCCCTCCCCATTTCTTGTCATTCGAGCTTTAATATAGACTGTTTTGGGGGCTGCTTTTGGTAACCCAGGAGAGAGAATCCCTGTGGCATAATTAGTAAAGTCTGGTCATTCTTTTTTTCTACTCTAAAGGTCAGTTCAGTTTCCAAACTAGTTTTCATCGACTTCTTAACCATTACCACCAATATCACCACCATTATTACAGGACTACAAACCAAGCATGCCCGACTCTAGTCCCATATATATATATATTTTTCCTGCTTTTTTCCTTCCCCAATCTCCCCAGGACATAGTTATGTATTTTAGTTGTGGGTCCTTCTAGTTGTGGCATGTGGAACACCACCTCAACATGGCCTAATGAGTGGTGCCACGTCCTTGCCCAGGATCCGAACCCTGGGCCGTTGAAGCCGAGCACATGAGCTCAACCACTCGGCCACGGGGCCGGCCCCAAGTCCCATACTTTTAATAACGATTGGCTCTTTTTGCTAGGGAGGGAGAGAGGGCCATCCCTATGTCAGATACCCTTGCTGAGCCTGGCTGTGGTGTGAGGGCCAGTGGGAGCCTCTCCCTGACTCACCTCTCTCGGATCTTGTCCAGACTCTTGGGGAGGAGGCAGAAGGCAGTTCCTCGCCTGAGCTGTGTACCAACCTGGCTCTGAGGAACATTAAGGAAAAGATACAGACGTATGGTTTTCCCTGTGGGCCTGCAAGCAGAAAAGTGTTCTTAACACTTCCCGCAGGCTCAGGTGAGCCACCTTGTTTGGGAAAAAATTATTTCTCAACGCCTAACTCCTGCTTGATACTGGCCACTTTTAGTCCTTTTTCTTGCAATGCTTTACTTTTTTTTTTTTTTTACAAGATTTTAAACTAGTTTGCTTTAATTATAAATAGGCTGCATATTCACGGTAAACATTCAAACAGAAAAAAGATATAAAGTGAAAAGTAAAGGTCTCTTCTTCCTTGCCCCCCTCACTAATTCCCATGGTCTCTAGATCACCCTTCTAGTACTTTTTATTCATATACAAGCCTGCCTGTGTATTTCCTTTTAAAAAAACAACAGAATCATACTATACAAACTGTTCTGCCACTTGCTTTTCTCACTTTATTGACAATCTTATCGCCTCTACTTCTATATCACTTTTTCTTGAGACCTGCTCCTCTGCAGGTCTCAGGCCTTTTTATTGCCTTGAGGATCACCATTACTTACTAAGAAAGGTTTTTCCTTCCAGCGTGGATCCTGTCCCTTCCTCTACTCAGCCTCCCGCTCATCCCAGAGGCCCATCCGCAGGGGAGCTGGGGCCAAGGTCTCCTGTCCCTGGCGTTCCAGAGTAACCACTGGGCTGAGAAGGAGCGCGGCCTGGAGTCCTCTTGCTTTTTTGATGTGGGAGGACTTAGGAGGGGAACAGAAACTTGATCAAGAGTTGAAAGTTCCCTTGGGTTAATCTGTGCTGGCAGCGGGAATTTTCTGACATCCCGGTAGCGTGCAGGGCTGAACCGCAACTTCTAAAATTGCCTTGGGTAAAGGAGCAGGAAGCGGCTAACTTATTCAAATTTAATTTTGGCTGGTAAGTTTTTCAACCTTTAGAGCAAGAATTCCTAACGAGCCTATGTTCGTTAATCATGAGTCTGCCCCGCTTAGGGCACTGGATTTCTGACTATAGGAACTGGGTTTTACCCATCTTTGTGGACAACGTGTAGTCGAAGCATACAGATGCTACACTGTTGAGCTGTGTGAGTGGGCACCCATCACTTTTCTGTGGCTGACCAGCATGCACACCTCCGTCCTTTTTGGGGGACTTCCCCACTGTGTGCGTCTTAGGACCTTCTCTCCCACTATGGGAGCCCAGTAGGGACATATACTTAGTCTCCCAACCCCTGCAATCTAGGGTTCATGTGACTCAGCTTAGCCAATCAGATGCTCCAGTTTGGAACTTGGAATGTTGAGCAGGCAGTGCAAAGACAAAAGGACAGGTTAAACAAAGGTGGTGAGGTCTCCAGGACGAAGGCAGCCTCCAGCACTGGGGGTGGTATCTCACTTACTCTGTAGTACCTGAAATCCTTGCAATAAATTCTTCTGCTGCTTCCATTGGCCAGAGCTTGTGTGTGTTGTTTACAACCAAGCACTGTGATTAATGTACATGAAAACACACAAAAAACTAGAATGTCCTCCTTGGTCATTTCCCTTTCCAGATCTGGAATGATTGTCATCTCACTGAAAGTTTTCAGACATTGCTAGCTAGTGGCCTCTCTTCACTTTATCTCACCAAGGGGAACTGACTACGGAGGCCTTGCTGCCGGGTGCTGTGGGTGGCCAATTCTTGTTTGTGAATGAGAATGATTGACAGGCATACCTTGCATAAGTAAAACCAGCAGATCACCAACACTTCAGATTAATACTTTCAGTTTTTTTCTCATCCAAAACATTTCCAATACTGCTAGAGAAGAGAAAAATTTGGCAGATCTCAACATTGTCTGCTTTTACACATACTACTTATATTCCAGTGGAAATGTTCCCGAGGGTGTCTCAGCAGTGGGCAGAGAAAAAAAAGAGAGCTGACAGCCAATGTTATCTACTGCATGTGTTGGAATCAACTCAATGCACTAGATTGTGACTTTAGGGACTCATACCATGTTGTAACAGGAAGGAAATGCAGAGAGTCATTCCTTTAGCGCTTATTGAGCTCTACTATATGCCAGACACTATTTTAGACACTGAGAATTCAATGATTGATTTGAGGGCTTCTGCTTTAGGGAGCTCCCAGTTCTATGGGGGAGACGAAGCAGCAAACGTTGGGAGACTGCCCTAATTTCACAAATGAGCAAAAGCCTCGGATTGCAAAGGGGATTGTGGCAGAGCTGAAAGCAGAATTGAGGCTTCTTGGCTTCCTGTTTTCTTAAAAGAAATATTTACCAGGTAAACTTGAGTGGGAGCAAGGGTGACAGGCTGAACTTTGGGGAAACTTTTACATGCACAAAAAATAAACCAAACACAGACACATATATACACAAGTGTGCACACACGCTCTGCACACACGCATACTGCAGAACAAAGGTAAACTATGTTCCAGACGTCTAAGGATCGAACTTTGGTCCATAAATGGTGGCACAAGACAGACTTTAATCATTATGATAACCATGTGATTTCTTGACCCTAGAGGTGATCAGATTAAGCTTTAAAAGGCAAGATGTGATTACCCATCTCCAGTCTGTAATGCCCTGGCCACATGTGTTATTAATAGCAGTAAAACCATCACGTAAATCCCAAGGGAGAAAAAATCATGCCCAGCTACAGGACTTTCCCTAATAACCTCCCAGGGCAATCAACCCAAGGCTGAAGAGATGTGAGGTGCTTCTGCATGTTCTAGCTCAAGTTGTGCCTATGTATTACTCATGACCCTGCCGTTGCTAAAATTTCAGCAGTGATTTCAGGACAAAGACACCATGCTTCTGCTCAGTTGGATGCATGTTTTTAATGACTGGAAGAGTTTCCTGGTAGGGAAGGAATAACATCAGTGATAACATCTACCACTTCCTTAGCACTTCCTGAAGGCCACACACTGCTAAATACTTCACCTGAACTTTCTCACTTTTTTTTTTCTTTTGAGGAAGATTAGCTCTGAGCTAACTACTGCCAATCTTCCTCTTTTTGCTGAGAAAGCCTGGCCCTGAGCTAACATCCATGCCCATCTTCCTCTACTTTATACATGGGACGCCTACCACAGCATGGCTTTTGCCAAGAGGTGCTATGTCTGCACCCGGGATCCGAACTGGTGAACCCCGGGCCGACGAGAAGCAAAACATGCAAACCTAACCGCTGCGTGACTGGGCTGGCCCCAAGAAGAAAGGCTTTCCCTACTGGGAATTGAACCTGGGCCGCTGCGGTGAGAGCGCTGAATCCTAACCACTAGACCACCAGGGAGCTCTCACTTCTTATATAGCCCTGTAAGTACATGGATTCTGGAAATAGACAAGTCCTGGCCCCTCCACTTATTAGCTTGGTGATGTAAGTCTCTTTCATTATCTGTAAAATGGAGAGATGGCAATAATATTTATTAGACAGTGTTGTTTTGAGGTTAGATGAAATAATCCAAGTTAGAAGCACTAAGCACAGAGCCTAGACCCATGGTCATCACTTAATAACTGTCAGCTGCCACTATTATTATCTCCATGTGCCATTGAGGAAACATTTACATAAGTTAAGGAACTTGCCCAAGGAAGGTCAAGACAGATGAGCCATAGACTTCGCCTTCAGTAGATTGGAGTCTACTTGAGGTTCTGAAACACTGCTGAATGCTGTAGGTTTGGATGAGCGCAAGGAGCAGTGAATTGGGAGACAGGACATGTGGACAATCTTACCAGGTCTTTTCTTTATTTTTAATTATTTTAAAAATCTGAAAAAATTTCAAGCATTACCATGCCAAAGGGATATAGAGAAAAGACAGTCTTTTTCGTCCCTGACCCTAAGTTCAAAGCAGCCACTATGTGTCTTTCTATGTATATTCAAGCATGTATGTATAAATATGATCTATGTACCTATATTGTATATGCTTATTTATGTATAATATATTTAATAAGCTCTTTACAAAATCCTTTTAATCTACCTTTAAAAATCTCAAATAGGGGCCAGCCCAGGGGTGCAGCGGTTAAGTTCACAAGTTCTGCTTTGGCGGCCCAGGGTTCCTGGGTTCGGATCCCAGGTGCGGACATGGCACCGCTTGGCATGCCATGCTGTGGCAGGCGTCCCACATATAAAGTAGAAGAAGATGGGCACGGATGTTAGTTCAGGGCCAGTCTTCCTCAGCAAAAAGAGGAGGTTTGGCAGCAGTTAGCTCAGGGCTAATCTTCCTCAAAAAAACAAAACAAAACAAACCAAAAAAATCTCAAATAGTATCATATTATTCAATGTGATCTGTACCTTATTTTTGTTTTTTTCACTTGATAATATATCATGGAGATTGATCCTGTCATTATGTCTAGATCTATTTCATTCTTTTAAAATGGCTGAATGGTATTCCACTGTATGGAGATACCATAATTGATTTAACCAATCCCCTATTGATGGATATTTAGATTGTTTCCAGGTTTTTGCTATTATAAATCAATGAATAGTGTTGTATATGTGTTTTTGCAAATATGCATGCATATATTTATTGGAGAACTTCCTAGAAGTGTAATTACTGAGTCAAAAGTTACATGCATAAAAGTGTAATGGATATTGCCAAATTATCCTCCAAAGAGGTTGTATCAATCTACACCCCCTCCTTAATGTATATGAGTGTGTTCAGGCTATTT